TGTTTATTGATACAAGTAGGTAAAAAATGACAATGGAAAACATTTACACCCCAGAACTCAAAACTGAAAGACTTTTATCCACTATACCTTTTATCTAAAAATGACGGGTGTTTAAATGCATGCATCTAAAGTATAGTTTGTCTTTATTTAGTAAATATGGATGTTTTGCTCATTAATTTTCCAGTTGGAACAATGTAGATTGTGAGGTTTTGGTGCCTATCTACTTTCAGCCACCCCTCAGTGCACATTTGTTGGCCATGCCTCTGATGCAAACTCCATGCAGAAAGACCCCGAGCCGGGAATCAAACCCACAACCTTCCTGCTGCATGGCAGCAGTGCTACCCACTGCTGCACTGTGCAGCCCCAAATCCGCCAATTTAAAGAAACCAATAAAGGAAATAAGGCTGTTTTATGTGTTCATATATTTTCAGTGAGTGTAGGTTATTTGTAGTGTTAAAAAAATCAAATAGTTTGCTTCCAGATGACTGAACCCAGAGCTGGGGGACCTCATACCTTGAGCAATGGCTATGGACTCGAACTTGTGCAGCTCCCGCAGCAGACAGCTCCTCTCCGACGGATGCAGGCTGTAAATGAAGTCCTTCGCTCCGCTGGGTGAGTTGAGGGGCTCCACGGGCTCCTTCAGGGGGTGTGTGCCCAGGTAGCATCGATGAACAAGCGCAGGGAGCCGCACCGTGGAGTCTGGAAGGACAGCGGGTGGGTGGCTGCTCCTGTGTCCGGCTTTGGACAGTCCTCTATCGGCTGTCAGGGAGAAGGCAGGCCGCAGGACTCTCCGCAGGCAGGGCAGCATCTTTAGGGAAGGGAGGGTGATGAATAACCCGGGGTCCTGATGGAGAACAGAGATTAATATCATTCCTGAAAAACTGTAAGAACTGTAACGGTAGTTATTGGGACGCACCTCAATCGATGCTCCGCTGTCCCGTCCGACAACCTCCGCCTGGAGAAGCCCCCAAAACACAGCGGCCGCTCCGGTTCATACGCTCCTTTCAGCCGCTCGGAGTTTCCACACGGTGAAACAGAAACCGCAAATATTAAAACCGCTTGTGTAACCGCGGATAAATCACATTTTCGCTTTCTCCCGACTAACCTCTGCCAGGCAGGATGGAGTGAGGCGGATGGGAGGAAACCACGGCGGGCAGCGACCTCCAAAGTATTGTCCAATGGGAGCGCAGCATTCCTCTGTGCGTAACTCTGACGGCAGCATCTGACGTAAACACGCACACCCGCACCTCTCATCACTGTCTCATTTACTGCTGATGCTGGCTCCAGAAATCCAACAGCTACTGCAACGAAGAATGTATTAAATTGATATAAAGAGGGATTTAGCTTCTTCCGGTTTTCAGTCACGTCTGAATAAAAAAATAATCTTAATTTGTATTCAGATAATTCAATGACATTACACACTTTCAACGATGAAGTGCGGTTACTATGTAACGTGAAACTGTGTAAATATTCACAAGAAGGGGTGTGTCCATCCATTCCTTTCTATACCATAATCCACACCTAAACCCACGCCCAAAAGAAACACGACACCTCGTGTCTCTATTTATAGAAAAATCACTTGTTCGTAAAACTATGATTATATTATTAAAATGCTCTAACTGTGTCAATCATAAACTGTTCTGCTGGTAGAAGGATGGTTCATCAGAGAAGCATAAATTAGGTTAAGGGTATGTAAGTTTTCCTCAGCAAGAGCGCCCCCTTGTGGCACCTAGCAGCAGATACATTTTTACAGTATAATGCCCCTTAAACGTTTAAATAATAATAATAATTGAACTTTATTGATCTCACACTGGGGCAGTTTACCTCTGCATTTAACCCATCCCCTTTGGGAGCAGTGTGGGGTTAAAGGTCTTGTTTAGATGTTTTATTCATCTATTCAACATTCATCTATATTTATTCTCCCATCTTTGTTTGTTGTTCTTTGTATGGCTCAGTGTTGATGTTTCCCTTCTGCTCTGCTGCTAAACTCCCAGATTGTCTATAAGGTCAATAAAATGAGAAGAACTGCAGGAGGAACGTCTCACCGTCCTTTTTTTTAGAGCTAATTTGTTTTAACACTGCAAGGTGACAAGAACAATTATTCTGCTAACATGAGCTGTCAGGTCAGACCCCCAACAGAGAAACAATAATAACCACCAATCTGCCAAAGCACTGTACTATAGTAATATTAGGACTCTTGCTCCAGTTGACTTCAGTTTGGTTTATTTATAAAGAACCAATTTACAACAAATTATTTCAAGATACTTTACCCAAAAATACAAACAGATCCTGTTTACATTACTGCAATCAAACCTTTATTATAGTTAGAAATAAAACGTAAAGATAGAACGACAGGAAGCATACTTCAACAGAAACAGACCCAGTAAGGGGATTTAATATAAATCAGTCTTAAAATTGAAACAAGTCCCAGCAAATGTAATCTAAAGACAATTAACTTGACAATTTTAATATGGGAACACGTAACAGAAGTCAACACAAACACAGAATCAAATCTAAACAGAAGCATCCAATTAGATCCTATTTACAATATGGTGAAGATAAATTGAGTTTATCATGGCATTCAGAGAAACGTCTTCAATCCAAGGAAGCTCAGCCAATCACAGACAGTTGTTCATTTTGCAGCAGTCCCTCCTGAGCAATGAAGTGGTCAGAGTAGAGAGGAAAACTAGCTTCAAACAGGAAGGAACCTCCAGCAGCTCCATGTCAGCGCCCATCTACTGCAGCTGAGCGGGTCTTTACCAGGACAGAAGACGTCCAACAGACACAGAGGCAGCGGTTCAAGGAGCAGATGACCTTATCTGGAAAAGAAGAACAGGAGTTAGTGAACAACTCGCTAATCTGTGACATTTAAACACATAAACACTGGGAGAGGTAAAACTTTAACCAATAGAAGAGGGAAACACACAGGGAGAACCTAAAGTTAACAGAAGTGATAACTGTAAACAATGGATGCTTGGAGAAAATGCCTGAAAATGCTGCATTTGTTGGAGTCTTCAGTCGGTCGTTTCTCTGCTT